ATCACCGTTCAATCGATCAATTCACCGTTTTGACCTATCAGGTCAAAACGCTCACTCTCCTTACACGCCGCTCGTCGACGGAGAGTCACCTCCGGAGACTCGTCTATGGTAGTGCTGACCTCCTTGCTTCATGTGCGGGGCTTGCTGTCGTCGTTGCATCCTCGGGTCGCGGGTATACATTAGTTCCGGCTTCCTCATTTTCCTCCTTTTGGCGTCCGGCTCTCCTTCAGTTCCTGGTGGTTCGGTCGCGGCTTTCTTCCTCTTTTCCCGTAGGCAGAAAGTGGGTAGTCGTAATGTGTTTGAAGCTGCTTCTCGCAGCTGCTCCAAAAAATCAAAATCTGCCAACCGTGCAATTTATCTTCCCCTTTCCGGGGACTTACTCCCAGGCAGGTGGCAGGGTGAAGCTTTGGTACTGCGTCATCTAGTGGCCCATAGTGGTCGATCACCTCAGCGTCGAAACCTCTGGCCGGTCCTGTCAACATTCGGACGACTTCAGCGCGGACTTTTCGGATCTCCTCCCATTCTTCCCTGCGCGCTTTCTACGGTGGCGGAAAACAATCTAGCGTTCCTCCACATTGCAAATGTCGCTCGACGGCTTGCATGCTTCTTCTCATCTGATCTGATCTTGGCATTTTCTCCGGCCACACCCATAGCATAGCGGCGCTAATTGGTATTTTATTCAACTGATCAGCCATATCATCCAGGTGATTATAGGACACAAATTTCACAGAGTTTTCTAAGACAACCTCCGCCAAGACACGCTCGAACGCCTTCGGTAGGGTCAAAATTATTGAATTCGTCGGCATGTCATCTCCGTCCATAGGGCTAAACTGCTCCTTCCTCGCTAACGCTTGATTATAATAGGCCGACAAATCGTAATCCGTCAAAATTTCTGGGTGCTGCAGTCGCTGCCCTTCTTTCTCGCGGAGTGCCATGGCAAAGTCGTGGCAGAACGAACGATGAGCCGAAATGGCACAACTTAGTCGGTGACTGACAGATGAGTCGACTGCTTCTTCAGCAGCTCGATTTCTTTTCTTCAATCTCCCCAAGTGGGTTCCAGTGCTATTGACCGACGTTGACTAGTTCAAACAGGTTCTTCACTT